AGAGGCGAACAACTTGTGTTTCGCGCGCTCATATGACCTTAGCAGTTGCGAGCGCCGTAAAACCTTATACTACTACTACTACATGTCCATGATGACCGCTACTCCTCTTTCATGTTAGTCGTCTCCTGAGTAAATGATGTTATAGCTGTCGGAAAATATTCTGCCAGCTCCTGTCCATCGTACTTCACATAAACCCATGATGTTAATATTCATTCTCTTCATTTCTTTCTTGATGTTGCCCAGTTTTCCTTTCTCTAGCATTGTTCTCACATTCCAGGTTGCTATGTTTCTTGTTTGATTTTTCCTTTTGTGAGCAGTATCTTGATGACGATCTGATGTCACCTGCTGTTCATGACTGACCCTACCAGACGAGGCAGTTCTTTCAGAACTCCCCTTTACGTCGTTATTTTTATTTATTGAAGTGTTATGATCCATAATGTTCTAGGGAAGGAATACAGCAGTGGTTTCCCCTTGCTTTCTGCTGGATTTTTGTACGGTTTACTCCGCTAGCCGTTATCCAAAAGGACCAACCCACAAGGCAGTGGGGGCAGGTGGCAGGTTTCGGCGCCTCCCTCTCGCCTGACAATCCCTTTACTGAGCACATGAGGCATTTTATAGAGACAGGATTGCCACCACCCTGTCTCCAAGACTGTCGCCAGTTGGTCCGCGACTGCTTATTGGTTATTCGCAGCTACCCTACATAATGTAGGCTGTTCCACTATCCGCCACCTGTGGACGCGGTGGATCGGGGATGGTTGCCCCAGCTTTACCCACACTTAAAGTCTTACAAACACCTAATAAATAGATACCCTGAAGCAGAGAAACTCTTTACAGACGGATCCAAAAATGACTCCTCAGTAGGAGCTGCTGCCTTTGCATCGCCACACAGTAGAGTTGGGGCGAGCTGATGGACAGGTTCGTTACTCGCGGACTCAGTCTGAGCGAGCGGGTAACGGACGGCCATGAGAGCGAACTGCGAACCGCAAGACAGTTCGTTTTTTGGGTCCGCTCCACAATTTGACTCTCTCAGCGAGCGGACTGCGGACCTCAAGCCTCAAGTCAGTTCGTATTTTGGGTCCGCTCCACAATTTTATTCACTGGGTGGGCGGGAAGCGGACGAACTCTAGCAGACGAGATACTCGACGCGAGGTTAGGCCCACGGTCTATTGTTTGTTAATTAGGCCTAATGTTT